TTAAATATAAATATATCAATTGAGAAATAATTTTATTTTTCTAATGAATTTTAATAAATATTATTATTTTTTATTATTATAAAGATAAATATAATTTATTTATTTTATATTACAATATGGATGTCAAATCGAAGATCATCAAAAGATGATTAATTTGATGTATTATATATGTAAAACCGATAAGAAACACAAAAGTTATCAAAATTTAGGGATATATTAGTCACTTAGTGCCTCACTATGTAAAATTACAAATAATTAAAGGGTTATATTAGTAAAAGTGGTATCAAAATACCTAAGTTAGCTAAATAATATTTATGGAATACCCGAACCTAGATTATTAATTATTAATATATTAATATTATTTGTCCAAACCTAATTACGAAGCATGATTTTTCGCCAAATAGGATTCCGAAGCACCAGAAACAGCCACGTAGGCTCAGCGCATTCGGGAATTATATATAGGGAGGATATACACATTAGTTGCTTTTATATACATGTTTTCAAATCTATATCTATATGATGGAAAAATCTGAAGTAATAACTTTGACTTTGTAATTAAATAAGTTGACTTACTATTAAAAGTAATATAGTAAAAATTACTTTAATATTTATAAAACATGAAAATCAAATTATACTAGTAGTAAATTGTGTAAGAGCATGATTTTTATATAAATAAAGTGATCAATTTTGAATTTTTTTATAATAACTATTGCTATAATAATTCGATTATTTAAATTAATTACGAATCATTGCAATTTCTTTTTCTTTTGATAATCAGTCATGCAATAAATTTAGAAATCAATTGCAAAAATATTACCGATCTCACGGGCTACGTACTAGTTGATGGGTCTTCTCCTAGACTTTGAGCAAAACAGTGGTAACGAGCTCAGACCTGCTTGAATCGCCTTTGAACCGTTGTTAGACCGCAAAGACACCTGCAAAAACTCAACGCCGGAGATGTTTCCGGTGTAGAGCCTCCGACGTTCAAGTTAGTATGTGAAGAGATAAAGAGAAGCTGCTCTAAGAGAGCAGCAGCAGCTATGGAGGAGAGTGTGAAATGAATGAGTGTGTTAGGGTTTAGGGCTACCTCTGCTTCTTTATATAGGAGGGAAAACTTACCTGAGATACCCAAAATGCCAAGTCGGTGGACCTAAAAGGTCCAAATTGCCCTGGTCGATTCGTCTCCCCTCCTTGCTGAGTCATATCAAGATTCCTCAAACTTACCTGAGATACCCAACCGTGTTTTGCTGAAATTTAACATGGACAAGGCCAAACCAGTCAGTACACCTTTGGCCAGCCATTTTCGTCTATCTAAGGATCGGTCTCCTCAAGCAAAAGAAGAAGAAGAGTTCATGGCTAAGAGTCCTTATGCTTCATCCATTGGAAGTTTGATGTACGCGATGGTCTGTACGAGGCCAGATATTGTCCATGCAGTGGGAGTTGTGAGCAGGTTTATGTCAAATCCAGGAAAAGCTCATTGGGAAGCCGTCAAATGGATCTTGAGATATCTACTGGGCACAACAGAAAAATGTCTGTATTTTAGAAAATGAGATATAAAGTTACAGGGCTACATAGATACAGACTTTGGAGGTGAAGTTGATCACAGAAGAAGCACCACTGGTTATGTTTTCACTGTCGGGGTTATAGCTGTTAGTTGGATGTTGCGGATACAAAAGATTGTTGCTCTATTCACTACAGAGGTTGAGTATGTAGAAGTGACAGAAGCCAGTAAAGAATTGATATGGCTTCAAGGATTCTTAGCATAGTTGGGTTTCACTCAAAGAGAGAGTGTCTTGCAGAGTGACAGTCTGAGTGCAATGCATCTGGCAAAGAACACAGTGTTTCACTCTAGAACTAAGCACATTGACATACGATATCATTTCATCAGATCTCTTCTTGAGGATGAAGTGTTGACTTTGAAGAAGATTGTAGGAAGCAAGAACCCAGCAGATATGCTAACGAAGGTGGTGACCATTGACAAACTGAAGTTGTGTTCAACTTCAGTTGGCCTGCTAGGATAACAGACCGAGAAGACTACTGCAGTAATTGAGGTGTAAGGACAGATTGAAATCAGTCCTCAAGTGGGAGATTGTTGAGTCAAAAATATTAGGTACAGCCCATTTGTTTTGACAAACAACAAAAGAAAGAAAATAAAATACTCAACAACACACGGAAGTAGAAAAAAAAGGAGCAGCACACTTTGGATAACGTGGCTGCCAATTTTTGACAATTGAGTGCACACTTCACATTGCATTTTTCAGCTATAAATAGAGCAACAAATGTTCAGAGGAAATTACAACAAAAAATACAACTAAAACACAAGAAGAAAGAAAAAAAGAGAGTGAAGCCTTGGTGTGT